GAGGAGGGCAAGAGGCCAGCCGCCTACCTCTCCCACCAGTGCAGGCCCTCCGGGCTGCAGCCCCGAGCTCCCCGGGGGAGGAGGCCACGTCCTGTGCCCTAGCTGGAGAAGGGGTACTCTGTCCTTAGGAGGCCTTTTATCTCCCTCAGGACGGAGAATCCCGGTTTTCTGCTTTCTCACCCAGCAGCTCCACCATACCCGGAGGCGGGGGTTATCTGAAATTAAAAAAAAGGAAACGTGCCTCAGTGTTTTTTGCTCTCCCCGGTCACTGTCGCCTGGTGCAGAGGGTCCCTCAGCTCTGCCGTGCGCCCCGCGGGAGGGCTCCGGCGCTTTTGCTGCCCTCGGGGACCGGTATCGAGTGTCTCCTTTGCAGGCTCTGGGGCGGCCTCGAGGGGCGGAGAGGCAAAGCATCGTCTCCTCTCTCCGGCACCCTCTTTCCCTCTGCGGATTCTCCTGCCCCTGGAACCACTGCCCAGAAACGCAGCTCGATGCCGAGCGAGGACCTGCGTCCGCACGCACCCCGAGGCCTGCGGGCTGCCCAGCAGAGCCCTGCCTCCGTGGGGCCGGGCTGGGGGCGGCGTGGACCGTTCCCCTTAATAGTACCCTTCCCCCCCCGTGAAAGAGCACTGCTCGGTATGGTGTTAGGCATCTGCTCTTTCTAGCCGTCTCCGCCGCGGACTTGCCGGCTGAGGGAGCTCAGGCGCACCCTGGGGTCGAGTTTTGTGCGGGTCACGCGTTCCTGGGGGCAGCGGGAGGCAGCAGGTGAGCAGCCTTGCGAAATAGGAGGGGTTCCTAATTCCACTCTGGCTTCTCCTTGCGCTCGGCATGCAGTCAGCGAGTGGGCCAGCCGTAATTTTAAAAAAATAAATAAATTTTTTTTTCGTGCTCTGAGGAAGCTTGAAATCCAAAATGGGACCGCGAGTGAGGCCGCTTAGTGGGGCTTGGACAGTTTCCGTCTTCCACATTTTCTTTTCGTGCCCACGCCGCGAGGTAAAGAGCGCATCCCCTGGCTCGGGAGCGGAGCGGTGTCGGGAGGGGGCAGGGCAGTGGCGCGAGCGGCAGGGGAGCGGGGCACGCGGTTTGGGAAAGTGCAGCCGGAGAGGGTGCCGCCGCGCCGGGAACCAGGCAAAGTTAAAATGTCAGAGCCTTGGGAGCCGCCAGCTTGCCGTGTTCCGAAGGTGCGGTGACGCCGCTGGACCTCAGGGGGCGCCCCCGAACCGCTGGTGGGGCTCCTGCCACCTCGGTGCGGTGGGGCCGCGGCGGGAGCTGGGAC